CTTTGCTTCCACTCCGGGAGTAGTCACGAGCTTAACTTCTCCCACCGTTCCTAAGAGTTGTGCGAGCAATTGGTTCCCAACGATTTGTTTCCCTCCGGGAAGGCGTTGCGTTACCTCAAACCCGCTACCCGGGAGCGGTTCGGTCTGGACTGTGAAGGGTCAAAACGGCTTTTACTTCCTCTCCGGGGGAGGCGTTGCGTTACCTCAACCCACCGTTCGGGGAGTGGTTCGGGCTGGACGTGGCGAGGACGAAACGGTCGCCTAGGGGCGGCTTTCTCAGGGCCGCGTCTTTTTAATCACTGGCAAGGGTTTGGGCGGCCACCCACTGCCTCATACCCATCAACGGCAACACGTAATCATGTTAGCGCTTAAACTTCACTTGCGTTGGAAATCATGCGTTTTGCCTGGGATCTTTTAGCTTCAGAAGGAGAAACTCCCCCCTACTAGTCAGGCACGCCACGGAGAGGCAAGATCCCGTGTAACACCACCGAGAGCTTGTGGGGCTGGGCAAGATCCCGTGTAACACCACCGAGAGCTTGTGGTGCTGGGCAAGATCCCGTGTAACACCACCGAGAGCTTGTGGTGCTGGGCAAGACCCCGTGTAGCACCACCGAGAGGCTTGTGGTGCTGGGCAAGACTCCGTGTAACACCACCGAGAGCTTGTGGTGCTGGGCAAGATCCCGTGTAGCACCACCGAGAGGCTTGTGGTGCTGGGCAAGACCCCGTGTAACACCACCGAGAGCTTGTGGTGCTGGGCAAGACCCCGTGTAACACTACCGAGAGCTTGTGGTGCTGGGCAAGAATTTTCCAACGGTCCACCCTTAACCCGCCTGGGGGGGGAGGTTGAGTGTAGAATTTGAAATTTTATTTTACTGATTGTTGATTTTAATAATTAAATATTATTTATAGTGATCGTATTAGTTTCTCATTGTTACTACACTCTGATTAAAGTACATCTACATTGTGAAAATTAAAAAAAAAAACTATGACTCATGATATAGATGTCTCTTATATAGATATAATAAAAAGGGAGGGGGGAATAGAGCTGTCATGCATGACGGTTGAACTAAGGTTAAAACATTGAATTTGTTTTCGAAGGTGAGTATTATATTAATGCTTTAAAAGACACGATTATGTTATTTGACTGACTGTAGGTCTATTGTCTTACAGCTGGCGGGTAGGGTGTAGGACTTTCCGTAGTCTTATTGTTTAAATGCTGGCGGGTAGGGTGTAGGACTTTCCGTAGTCTTATTGTTTAAAAGCTGGCGGGTAGGGTGTAGGACTTTCCGTAGTCTTATTGTTTAAAAGCTGACAGATAGGATGCAGGACTGTCTGTAGTCTTATTGTTTTACAGCTGGCGGGTAGGGTGTAGGACTTTACGTAGTCTTATTGTTTAAAAGCTGACAGATAGGATGCAAGACTGTCTGTAGTCTTATTGTTTTACAGCTGGCGGGTAGGGTGTAGGACTTTCCGTAGTCTTATTGTTTAAAAGCTGACAGATAGGATGCAGGACTGTCTGTAGTCTTATTGTTTTACAGCTGGCGGGTAGGGTGTAGGACTTTCCGTAGTCTTATTGTTTAAAAGCTGACAGATAGGATGCAAGACTGTCTGTAGTCTTATTGTTTAAAAGCTGGCAGGTAGGATGTAAGACTGTCTGTAGGCTTATTGTTTAAAAGCTGGCAGGTAGGATGTAAGACTGTCTGTAGGCTTATTGTTTAAAAGCTGGCAGGTAGGATGTAAGACTGTATGTAGGCTTATTGTTTAAAAGCTGGCAGGTTGGATGTAAGACTGTCTGTAGGCTTATTGTTTAAAAGCTGGCAGGTAGGATGTAGGACTGTCTGTAGTCTTATTGTTTAAAAGGATGTAAGACTGTATGTAGGCTTATTGTTTAAAAGCTGGCAGGTTGGATGTAAGACTGTCTGTAGGCTTATTGTTTAAAAGCTGGCAGGTAGGATGTAGGACTGTCTGTAGTCTTATTGTTTAAAAGTTGGCAGGTAGGATGTAAGACTGTCTGTAGGCTTATTGTTTAAAAGCTGGCAGGTAGGATGTAAGACTGTATGTAGGCTTATTGTTTAAAAGCTGACAGGTTGGATGTAGGACTGTCTGTAGTCTTATTGTTTAAAAGCTGGCAGGTAGGATGTAGGACTGTCTGTAGTCTTATTGTTTAAAAGCTGGCAGGTAGGATGTAGGACTGTCTCTAGTCTTATTGTTTAAAAGCTGTCAGGTAGGATGTAGGACTGTCTGTAGTCTTATTGTTTAAAAGCTGGCAGGTAGGATGTAGAACTGTCTGTAGTCTTATTGTTTAAAAGGTGGCAGGTAGGATGTAGGACTGTATGTAGGCTTATTGTTTAAAAGCTGGCATAAATTAAAGAAAATGAAGTTTACCTTTCTTTGTAACACTTGGACCTAACGGGTATTTTCTCGAAATACCCGGACCCAGAGTAAAAATGCACTCGGCTAAGCCTCAGTAATATTAATATTTTGACAGTTTTTTTCATTTTATTTAATTACATCATATGTAATTTAATTTTATTATTTTTCTATTTTGTTTCATTTTTTGGGCCTAAATTTAAAAGTTGGCAACTTTCAAGCGAAACTATAACCAGTTGTTTGAATTTATAAAAGCATTTCTTGGGAATGACTTACAGAGTGTAACAGAGCCCGCTCTATAGAATCCCCCATCCTTCTTAGCCTTTAGTTGTGTTTCTCTCCACCCCCGATCAAACTTGCAGTAATGCCCCCAACTCAAGTTCAAGGTATAATTCTGGCTGTGAGTCGAAAATACTTGGCAAATATTAAATAAGGGTCACTGCAATTTTTTAAAAAAAATGGCTGAAAACCGTTGGTTTATGATTATATCATTGTATCATTAAATTATTAATGTTTTGAAGATTTCAAATGTGATGCTTTGTGATCGCTACTGATTCTCTACGGGCACTTTTCACGTCTCACCTTATTATAGGATGGTACACATTATTGGAAATGAGAAGATAACTCTTTTTTTGTAACACCCTATGCCTATTGACTATCCAGAGCTGTCTTAATCAAATGACAACGAAACGACCTTCAATGTCCTCAAGGAATTAAATATAAAATTACAAGAGTCGCGTATTCAATACCTTTATTCGGTGCTTGATGAATGATTTGTAAATAAAGATTTATTCATAGTATCCCGTCTTTTTGTAAATTACATATTCAATTTCGTTTGTTTTATGACTATCTCATGGTAAGGTTATCTGTCACAATGTAAGGTATCTGTCACATTTCAAGGTTATCTGTCACATTGTAAGCTATCCAACATATTTCAAGGTTAACTGGCCCATGTCAATGTATTCTTTCACCTTGTCAGTTATCTGTCACACTTCAAAGTTATCTATCACATTGTAAGGTGATATGTCTCATTTTAAGGTTGTCTGTCACATTGTAAGGTATCTATCAAATTTCAAGGTTATCTGTCACATTGTAAGCTATATGTCACATTTAAATGTTATCTATCACATTGTAAGATTATATGTCACACTGTATGGTTATCTGTCACATTGTAAGATGACCTATGATTTTGCTCCATGGAATATACAAGTTGGATAGGGCCGCTTTTGGTGCTTGCCCTGGGCCGCTCGGTCACTCCAGTCGACCACTGACTGTCACACTCCAGTCGACCATTGAATGCCGCACTCCAGTCCACCACTGACTCCGACACTCCAGTCCACCACTGACTCCGACACTCCAGTCCACCACTGACTCCGACACTCCAGTCCACCACTGACTGCGACACTCCAGTCCACCACTGACTCCGACACTCCAGTCCACCACTGACTGCGAAAACATGTGAACGAGTCTTGTCGCTATCTCATTGGTCGCCTCCGTAGTTTAATTATGTCTACCATTTCCTGTAGATAATATATCTTTACAACAAGCTGAGAGTGTTTGCCTTCAAATGTTTTTTTTTAAAAAGTTTTCTGTCTAACGCTTTTGGCCAAAACGTCCACTATCTGTTATTGTCCTTCTTAAGGCTTTCCCTTTACCATTTCTTATATATTTATTATTTTATATGTGCATCTTAAAACAAAATTAAACTTTAATTTCACGAAAGTTAGTCTCTGTAGGCACAAAAAAAATAAACCCATTTATTTCATATGTGAATTATTGGTGAAAAGGCGGCACCATTTTTTTATCTTTTCCTGGGATGAAGCTTTTCGCTCGCTTAGTACATTTGTGAAAAGAAATACTTTCGAAAAAAAATTTGAAGTTAAATACAGGCTAGCATTTATACATATCAAAGAAATGCCTTTCACAATTAAAATATTCTAAAGTTATTTCATTTTTTTTTAAAAATACAAAAATGCCGTTTAAATGTGTCTAAGTCTTGTTCATGTCAAGGATCAGCAAGCAGAGACATGTCAAGTGAGGTAATGTGATGTCTTCAACATAATTGTCTGCTCCTGCACGTAAATATCATCATTTTGCTTTTTTTTTTTTTTTTTCTTCTCCAAAATAAACCCCTGTATATCATATAAGGCTGTGAATTATTATTTTCACACCCAAAAAGTAAAACGAAAGAAGTATGAACAATTATAAAAAATAATTGATAATTACAGAACACCTGAACCGATATAATTGCTTGTCGTGCCCTGCATGAAAATGAATTAATCAATTATATTATATGCGCCAAGCGATAAAAACACGAGAGCTGATAACAAACAATTAATGCACGGCTCAATGCGTTCTATCGTTCTTACATAAAAGACAATAAATATTTGTTCAAAAGCTGTTAGTCTCGTCAAACACCTGTAATTGCCATAGCTAATAATTGATAATGGGGTTTGCTCTTTCCTCGTTTGACTTACTCCGGTTCGACAGTACGGTATAAAATATTGATGGTAAGCTAAGAAAACACCTCGTTGACAAGGTGATGTTTCAAACCTGTCTCTTAATGTCCGTTTATCGGATCACTGAACATGGTGTCCTTGAATATCACCCCAACTCTCCTTACTGCGACAGGGGACCTCAGCGTCGAGGCCAATCTCGCCATTTTGTCGTTCTTGTTCTACTTTCTCTGGCCTTTCCTCATCCTGTTCGGCGTGGTCAGTAACATGATCAACATCGTGGTCTTCACAAAGATGGGTCTCCATGACAGTGTGTCCGTCTCGTTCTTCGCCCTGTCCGTGACGGAACTCCTCTACTTGCTGTTCTCCAGCGTCGTCGCGACCACCGCGGCCATCGGCTTACAACCCTGGCAGAGCTCACTGCCCTTCGGCGTGTACTTCCTGGGCGGGTACATCGTGTGGTACGAAGGAATGTTTCTGGAAATTTCGATGGCTATCATCGCGTACATCGGCCTGGCCAGGTGCTGCTGTGTGGCGATAGCTCTGAAGTTCAAACACACGTTCACGGTGACGCGAACACTTGTAATTCTAAGTGGGATCATCTCATTCAGCGTGGGAAACAGGATCCCCATTTTGAGAACCACTGGCCTTGCTTGGGTCACAAACCCTTTGAACAACACCACGCGATTGCTCGCCTGGTTCTCGGGCGATTTTAACCGCGTGAAAGAAGTTTACGACTTGATCAACAGAACCATTTTCCCCACCACTTTGCTGATTGTCGTTCTGGTTTGCTCCGTCATCCTGACCTATACTTTGATCGTGGCCTCCAGCAATCGCAGGGCCATGACAGGGAAGGCTTTGAGCAAGAACGCAAATGACATTGGAAATGGAACCCAAGGGTTGAACATAAATACAAAAGATGCAATGGAAGATTTTCACATCGGAAGCCACGCGCCACGCCACAAACATTCAACCAAACGGCCGAAATTAGCCAAAGCTCACACCCTGAGCAGTAAGGAGATCCAGATCGTCAAGCAAGTCACGGCTGTGGCCGGTTTCCTTCTTCTCGCCGTCCTCGTGCAGTCCATGAACAGCCTCGCACAGGTCATCGTCCCAGAGTTCATGTCCGGGCGAAGCTACAAACGCATCTACAACGTCACTGTGGGCTTCGGCTACTCGTGCTGTCACCTCAACGCATGCGCTAACTTCCTCATTTACATCAAGTTCAACTCCAAGTTCAGGGGAACCTTCCAGCGCATCTTCTTATGTTGAACAACTGGAAAAATAAGAAAATTTAGCATTGAAAGTTTCCACTTATTGTGTCCTTTTAGATCGAAAGGGGCACTAAATAAATAGAAATTTCTAACACAGAGCACAGTGAAAGAAACGATAAAAGATATCCACTAATACCTCAATTGTTTCGTTTTTTGGGGATTCGCGAATTCACGGGTTGGCGAAATATTTATTTGGAACCTAATTCATTTGCAATATCGATTCTATCAGAGATGTGTGAAATATGCGAAAGCCTCGAATGACCTATTAGAAGTGTTTATGTTAATTTTTGAAATAACTTATATGTTTTTATGCTTTCCTCACATCAGTAAGGCTAATCATGTCATCAGTAAAGATAATAATCACAATAGTAAAGCTAATCATCACACCAGTAAAGCTAATCATCTCATCAGTAAAGCTAATAATAACATCAGTAACGCTAATCATCACATCAGTAAAGGTAATCATCACAGCAGTGAAGCTAATCATCACACCAGAAAAGTTAATCATCACACCAGTAAAGGTAACCATCACATCGGTAAATCTAAGCCTCACACCAGTAAAGCTAATCATCTCGTCGGTAAAGTTAATCATGGCATGGGTAAAGCTAATCATCACAGCATTAAAGATAATCATCAAAGCAGTAAAGGTAATCCACACATCGGTAAAACTAATCACCACATCGGTAAAGCTAATCATTACATCGGTAAAGCTAATCATTACATCAGTACAGCTATAACTTGTAGAACTTATCTATGGTATTGATTGAATATGACTCTCTATAAAATTGTTTGGGTTAATTTCATTGTTTGTTTGTTTGTGTGTTTTGTTGTGTTGTTTTGTTTGTTTTGTTGTTATTTTTTTGTGTTGGGGTTGTGATTCTTTCGATGTATTTACGCGAGCTCAAATTTTATCGCATTTAGAGTCAGTGGCGTAGCTAGGGTTAGTGTCACCCGGTGCGGTCCTGTTAAGAGTTGCTTTCATTTTTTGTTTAAATCCGGTTTTTTTAAATTGATAAACCCAAAAATGTAGCCAGTAACTTACTAAAATCTATCATTTACATTGATCAATAAGTGCAATAGGTATGTATATCAACACATCTATCAAAAAACATTTCACAAAGCCTTCATAATCGGCGACAATTCACCACTTATGACACACAACATCTCACCCCTTGTGACACACAACATCTCACCACTTATGACACACAACATCTCACCCCTTGTGACACACAACATCTCACCACTTATGACACACAACATCTCACCCCTTGTGACACACAACATCTCACCACTTATGACGCATAAGTGAGGCTAATATCGCCCTATAAGCCTACTATAAAAGCAAATTGTGTAGCATCTCGCAGGAGACGAAAATTTTGTATGTCATAAATACATACCCATCACCGATTTACAATAATCCCCGCCCCCCCCCCCCCCCCCACACACACACAACCTACACATTGTCCTTACGATACCTCAGTTTGCTGTTTCGTTTATCATTGATATCGTCTATCATTGACATTGTCTATCATTGATATAATCTATCAAATGAGGATATATGCAAAAAATATACAAACTTTGTATAATAAATCAATTAAGGGACGATCTCCCTGTCCCCCGTATTGAAGCAGGGGCATATTTGCTAGTATCTATGTATTTACTGACATCAGATGTTGAAGTACTTTAAAACTAAATAAAAACTCTAAAAGTACGTGAATCTCGAGGCCACTCATTTTATTAACACACATTGGCATAACATTAACATACCTTACCACAAACTTAACTTACATTGTCATATCTTACATTGCAGTTACATTTACTTACATTATCATAACATTAAGGCTAATGACTTAAGGCTAATGACTTAAGGCTAATGGCTAAAGGCTAATGGCTTAAGTCTAATTCCTTAAGTCTAATGCCTTAAGGCTAATGACAAAAGGCTAATGACTTAAGGCTAATGGCTTAAGGCTAATGGCTAAAGGCTAAAGGTTAATGGCTTACGGCTAATGACTTAAGCCTAATAGCTAAAAGCTAATGACTTAAGGCTTATGGATAAAGGCAAATCGCTAAAGGCTACTGACTTAAGGCTAATGCCTTAAGTCTAATGCCTTAAAGCTAATGACTAAAGGCTAATGGCTAAAGGCTAATGACTTAAGGCTAATGGCTAATGACTTAAGGCTGATGGCTAAAGGCTAATGACTTAAGGCTAATGGCTTAAGGCTAATTGCTAAAGGCTAATTGCTAAAGACTAATGGCTAAAGGCTAATGGCTAAAGGCTAATGACTTAAGGCTAGTGCCTTAAGACGAATGGCTAAAGGTTAATGGCTTACGGCTAATGGCTTAGGACTAATTGCTAAAGTCTAATTGCTAAAGGCTAAAGGCAAATGGCTAATGGCTAAAGGCTAAGGACAACAGCCTATCGACTTATCAGAGATACGCAGCTGTATCACTATTTAAATTATTTCTTCATTCATTCTGCGATTATTTTCATTATTCTAAAAATTGCAGAACTAAAGTGGCACTATGAAACTTCTAAGCTGTTCCCTCGTTGTTCTAAACACAATAGAGTTCCACTATGGTCTTTGTGTGGTTTCTTCTTTCTTGAATTCACCGATGTTTGTGAAGCTGTAGTCCTTTGACTCTTTCATCTTCATATATTCAACCCACGACATTTGTTGCAACAAAACTCTTCAAGGTAAAATCAATTTTGGACACGGGACAAAAAAAATGTGAGTATGTAGATTAGGGGCTCTTAACTAGGGATGCCCTCACCCAGGGCCGGCGGGAGGACATTTTCTGTTGGGAACAATATTAATTGAACAACCCTTTGACAAATTTGCTTCTTATAAGTCCTATATAAAATATAATATCGAGTATTGTGGGGTGGACCTGAAAATTTGAATAAACATGCTTACAAGTAACGCACTTAATAAGAATCCCAATTAGCGCTCTCTCTCCACCCACCTTCAAGGCTGGCAACATCACGTTGTTTCAGGCCCTGAACTGTATTAATATTCTAATGACCCACTCGTTTTTACACCGAAGATTTTTTCACCAACAATTTCAGTGAAAAAAATAAAAATAATAATTCGCACAAAACGTACTTGCGATATTTAAAAAAAAAAAAAAAAAAACTGTTATAGCACAGTTATCGAGAATTTTATTTCTCACAAAACGTACTTGGAAAATTTAAAAAAAAAAAAAAAAAAACTGTTATAGCACAGTTATCGAGAATTTTATTTCTTGAAATCAGTGTCATCATATCTCCTTCCTTCAACCCTTAAAAAAAATAGGAAAAACTGATTTTTGGGTGTTGGTGGTGGGTCTGAAATTTGATAGAATGTGTTATCATGAGCAGCAAGTCTATGTGCAAAGTTTCAGCTCGATAGGTTGATGAGAAATAGGTAAATGAGGCGCCTTAAGATTTTCCAGCCAACCAGCCACGAACAGCAACAAAGTTAATATTTTATTAAACGACACCAAAAGCAAAATTTTTCCTTTATAAAATATGATATCGAGCGATGGGGTGTGGGCCGGAAAAATTGACAAACCATAAATACAAGTAACGCTCTTTATAAGAAGACCAATCAGTGCGCCCCCCCCCCCCCCATGGGCTCGCAACCGCACATGTTTACATGTTCCTGAACTATATTAATATGCTAAGAACCCACTCGTTTTTACACGGAAGATTTTTCATTGGGGTGTGGGCCGGAAAAATTGACAAACCATAAATACAAGTAACCCCCTTTATAAGAAGACCAATCAGTGCGCCCCCCCCCCCCATGGGCTCGCAACCGCACATGTTTACATGTTCCTGAACTATATTAATATGCTAAGAACCCACTCGTTTTTACACGGAAGATTTTTCATAAAAGTAAAAGAAAATATTACGCACCAAACGCTATTGCTGAAAATTTGAAAGAATACGCTGTCATTGTCATCGAGTCTATGTCCCGAGTTTCAGCTTGATCGGTTGACTGAAAGTGGGACAATTAGCCGTCCGAAGATTTTGCCAGCCACGAACAAAAGCGAAATTAATGTAAAGGATTTACAAATGGAGCCCCTAACCTAAACATTGAAGCATAACTCAATCTGGGTGGCCGAGTGGTCTAAACTGAGTCAATCCCAAGCTAGTGGACTCGAGTACGATCCCAGCAAAAACAACACCAGCACCCTGGGTAGATGGGTGTCGTTAGCCTTGGATGGTAACTCATCTAAGAAAAGGAGAACACTGAAATCAAACCGGAAGATGGCGTCCAGTAAGCGGTATGACATTGACTCAATGAAAACTCCGACAACTGCTGCGCCGGTGAACGCAATAAACAGCTCATTGAAACCCACACACTGCTGGTCCCCTAATGCATTCGGGTCAATTTCCAGTCATCTTGACTCAGTCTTGCCATTGGTACGAATGGGCAAAGGACGAGAGAGTGAGACTGACGAATTGAGTAACTCTCCCTCACTCTAAGCAAAATTGAGCTTCAAGCTAGTACTCAAGCCTTGGTCGTCATCGTTGGTCATCTTCTTTTTTCATCTTCCTTGGTCATCGTCCTTGGTCATCTTCCTTGGTCATCGTCCTTGGTCATGGTCCTTGGTCATCGCCCTTGGTCATCGTCCTTGGTCATCTTCCTTGGTCATCGTCCTTGGTCATGGTCCTTGGTCATGGTCCTTGGTCATCGCCCTTGGTCATCGTCCTTGGTCATCTTCCTTGGTCATCCTCGCGTACGTAGGGCGAACAATAAAATACATTCTAACTATATTAAAAACAGGACAGTTACTTCTGTGAACTTTTTTTTTTAGACATACACTTTAGGATATAGACAATAATGAAACAATATACACTATCAAATGTAATACTAGATTGATTACAAGCTCATAACAGTTATTTGCAGTTTTCATGTCCTCAAAAATATGTTGCCTTACAAATAAGGAACATTCAGCAATTAATTCGTTTTGGCAATCGGCATTGAGATGATGTATTTGAAGTCGTTTTCATGT